TCTATCTCTTCTTATTCTGGTACTTACAAACATCGGACCAAAGTTATAATACCATTACATGCTCATGAAAGGTATAAAAATGTTTGTATAATATTTACATACATACATACAGTGATCGAAGAATTGTAGTCGCACCAATTTTTTTTGTTATTTAATTTGAGCTATTTGTTTATAAAAATATCGTTCATTCTTGAACAAATACCATATGAATCCAAGTTTCAAATTTTGCGCAATGTGTATTTGAAAAAAATAAAATAAATTCACCCAACTTTCGTAAAAATATCGATATTTTTTATTAGATTCTCTAGAAGGATTTTAAGTATGCAGTTTTGTAGCCCACTCAATTCTATTATAATAAAGTGCGAGTTTCAAGCGTCGACCATATAAACATAAATTATGTATTCGTTCGTAAAAAATCAACGGTAATATTTGGCAATTTAAAACTTTATTATAGCTCTTAGAATTGTATGAGCTGAAATTCCCCACAAAAAACGGTCCATTCCCCGATTCCCCGCGCAAACTGAAATTTCCCGCAAATCGGGGAAACTCCCCACGATTTGGCTTCCCTGATGAGAATTTTAAAAAGGCGATATTTAATTGTTCGTATTAAAAACCAAAATATAGATGAATCGAAAATGCTTTTCCTCAAAAATAAATATTCCATACAATATTTACACCCCAATATTTTTTTTTGGGGGTAAAATATATTTTTTTACATTATTTATCGAAAAAAGAAGACATAATTTTTTTTTTCGTCATCATCAGGAACGGATTTATGGAAATTGCCTGTTTTTCTGCTCAAGAGATAGAGTGTATTCGATTAGAATGTCCACGATTTAGCTTTCCCTGATTCCATATATACACATTTGATGTTGCTTTTTTAAGATATTTGCCTTTTCTCCTTTAAAGGCTAGTATGCAGCTCTCAAGAAAAGCAAAAAAAAAGAGCACAAGGCGACCCATTTTTGCAACAGAAATATATGTCCGGTCCATCTTGAGGAAAGAGAGAGGCAACAGGATGCGAAGTATCAGATTTCAAAATTCCTTGTCCGTTTCTTGAGAGCTGCATACTGGCCTTTAGTTGTAAAGGGCCAGGGAAAAGCCCTTATTCCTGATAATATGAAGGTTTTAAATGCTCCATATTTAAATTGGGCGCCAATTGTTTCAACTCACATCGAGCGAACGGCTTTTCTTCGCCAAAATCGAATGAAAATGCTGCCAGAAAACTTATGAAAAGCATGTTGAGGTTCAATGTTGCTACAACTATAGCGATTAAAGTTTTGTTAGTTAAAAATTCGAAAGGAGAAAATAGTCAGAGATTCAAAGTAAAAATTGTTCATATAATTAAACTAGTTCATAGTTTTTCTCTTTTTATTTGTAAAATAAACATTTCTAAAATAAATGTATGTATTTTTTGATAATTTTTCGGCTTTTGTTAGTGTCTTCTTTTGCGATTTCTAGTGCCTTTTCGTGCCTACTTCGTTATTTTATTTTGCCTTTTTTATAGGTTTTTAAGCCCTAAGGCTATGTCTCCATTCCGAGATTAAATGAAGATTTAGCCCTCTGACGAGATTTAACGTTAAATCTTTCGAGATTTGTCATATAAAATTAAATCTCGAAAGGCAGTAGATTTAAGTTAAAACTTCGTTATATCTTCAATAATATTGATCAATAAATCCAATTTGTTAGGTGTGGCATCCACTTATTCACATGCCATAAGTCAAATGACATTTGTATTTTCAATATACAGTTGCGGACATTGAAATCTAGCCGATTTAAAAAACATGCATTTTCGTATTCTTAGGGGTGTTTTTATATTTTGTTTAGTTTTAAAGCCAAAATATTAGTATTTACATAACTTTTGCTTTAATAAATCAAGAATATATTATTTTAAAAACTAAAAATTCAGAAAATATGTTTTATGATAATATAAGGCAGAGTCTTCTTCGCTTCCTATAAATCTTTTACGCGCTACGACATAAAATTTAGAAAATGGTTCTGCTTCGATAACATTGCACAAAGAATCCTCTAGAACCCAATTCGACTGAAGAAATGCATTGGCAGTCATTTTTGCTAGCTAGGTCTTCATGATATGTCAAAGGCCTACGATTGGATTTTCGGCTTATGAGGAAGAGAGTTTATTTCCCCAAACCATTACCGAATTTCAAAAATTTTCCTTTCAGCAAATGTTGTTATTTACCGTTTTGTGTGTATTTCAATGTCCGCAACTGTATTTATAAAACCATACATAATCAAACGTCAAATATTTCAAAATGTGAACGTCAAACATATCTCGTTGTGGCAATGGAGACGGTTAAGATTTAGCAACTACATTTATTAAATCTTAATAGGTAGATCTTTTAATGGAGACATAGTATAAAAATCCGTTCCTTGGTCATGGTATTCGAAAATCTCGAAAAAAATCCCGAAATTTTGAACTCACGAAGAAGAGATAGAGAGTTGTGACCGGGTTTGAGAGATTGGTTTCGATAGGAGGGCAGCTCCGTATATTTTTAATCGTGGAAGATTGAATGTATGAAGTGGGCTACCTTACTTTTTGCAACAAAAAATCGGCAAGTCGGTGAGTTTTCTCCATCTTTGCAACGAATGTAAAATGAAAAATATTAAAGGGTGAACACACCACCCTTTATTCGCTTCTTATAACTTCAGGAGCTGTAGTGGGTTCCACGAAATTTAAGGTGACCCATTCTTCTCAAAAGTCTGAATACGTTTTTCTAATATCAGGCTTTTTTGCGAGTGTCCAGGGGCCAGAGATTTCGGAAAACATTTTTAAAGGGTAGGCGCACTTCGTACCGACCATCGTATGTTCTAGTTGTCATGTTCTTATAGAGCTTCGCAAGCTTGGTCTTCTTTCGAGGGTTAGGTGCGGTCAACAACGTCTCCTTGTTGCCAAAATCTTTTGAACAGGTCGTTTAATGAGTCCTCGGGTTGTGGTTCGACTCGAGTCGATAATGCTGAGACTTGAGCTTGGACTGGGCCACTTAAAATCCACCCAAAAAAGCTATCGAAGACATTTTTTGCGCCTGACAGAAATATTTTCAGGATTAAATCGCTGCTTATCACCAACTTTATTTTACTTGGAGTAAAACATGAGGGATCGGCCAGATCTAGCGAGGCGAATTGTCCAGTCAACATCCTGTGCTGTGAACGCTGGCAGAAATTGGATGAGCTGGGGTTGAAAAATGGCATTTGCTCCTGATTTTATATTTGTGTCCGTTCTACATAGGGTTAGTGCTCAAATTTGAGTTGAATGGACACCGCCGCTCCAGCTCTGAAAGTATTAAACTCGGAACCTGCTGGTGGTAGCAGAGAAAGCGGGAGGCCCCCAAAGCGATGAAAAGTCTAATTGGCGTCAGTTGGCACAGAAGAGAAACGACTGGCGAGCTTTGTTGAACTCGGCTAAATTTGCTTTGGCAGTTACACAATGGCTGAATGCACAGTTTCCATATGCGCAATTTCGGTGCCCGGTACTAACCATAGAGTGTGGTTTGGAAAGTTACAAAATGGATACAAAACTACATACTCAGAATCTTTCTAGGAAATCTAATTAAAAAATCTCGATATTTTCACGAAATTCTGTTGGATTTTTTTTATAATATTGCATATATTAGTTCAGTTTCACGCGATTGGTACTTTGGTACAGATTTGTGCATGCAGGCTATTTGTACAAAATAATAAAAAATGGGACGACACGAGATAAATGTTAAAAAGGCAGAACATGCTGAAAAGGGCAATATAGTCAAAAAAGGCAAAAAGAGGCAAAGGCAAAATTAAAATTTAAATTTTTAATCAAGGAAGACATGAACTATGCGATTCTTTAGTTTGTTTACAGATACGAGTAAGCAGACAAAATAAGCAAATGCCTTAAAATCCTAACCCTCATAATCACCCAGCAGCCTCATTAAGATAAACCAAATGTTTAGTAAGCACTATCACTAGTATCGATGTTTTTACTATCGAAAACATCGATGGTTTTGTAAGCACTATCGATAGTTTTCACTCATACATACATACATAAAGATGCTGCTTGAAGACAAAAATTGTTAATAAACTTTTGTTCCTTAACAAAAATATCGACAAATTTTAGCAATTCTGATCTCATTTCAATAAAAGTTTTTATGTTTAATTTTTGGACTGTTTCAATCAAAACTACTATCGATAGTGCCGACATTTTCGATAGTATCGATACTATCGATGGTTGTGACTATTAACTATCGAAACTATCGATGACCACGGCAGCTCTATAGTGTCGACATTTTCGATAGTATCGGCAATTAACTATTTCAGCATTTAATACTAATAATTTTAAGTTGGTTGAAAAGACATCTGCAAAAGAAACATACTGAATTTGAAGTGCTTTAAACCAAATGCATTTTGAAGTAGTTGGAATCAAATGCAAAGTCGGACAATCGTCTTTGCTGCTTGCACAAAATTCAAATTGAACATTTGAAAGTACATTTACATGTCTGGCTGTAGCTGAGGGTGCAGAGATGCCTGCTGTTACGTGTTAGCTTGATGAAGGTCCGGGTTCGAACCCCAATATAGGCAACATGTGAAAATGATAATTCATTTTTTTTTGTCTTGGTAACATGAAAGAGCATCTCTGAAGTGCAGAACGAAAGCTTATTCAAACAAAACATACTGACTTTTGTCACATGATATTAATTAGACTAACCTTCACATTGAATACTACACATTTAATACATACTGAATTACTATACCTTCACATGCGACCCTGACATTCAACTGCAACCATGTAAGCATTTTAAAATAAACGAACGTTTTGAAGAAGACAGAGAACAAGAGAGAGTTTGTATCGAACAGCAGACGCGGACGGTTGATTTGTGAATCGCTATTTTTCCTACATTAATAAAAGATCAAAGCAAGTGTTGAATAAACTGTATTTAATCGTTTGGCCTATTTTATTTAAAACTCGGGTTCTTGACAGTTCAGAAGCGGGTAAAAAGCCCAAGAAAAGAAATGCAAAAAGTTTGCCATTTAAATGTAATACAACTTCGGCAAAAGTTGCGCGAAGCCGGTTTGCCGACGTCGGGCAATAAAGCGAAGTTAATTGAACGTTGGTACGAAAACCAATACAGCGAAAAATTTTCGAGTGCTCTAAACGATAGCGTAGAACGGCGGTTAAATCAACTAGAAAGTGCTATGCAATCTGTGCGTGTTGATGCAAGTGAGGTCGGCACCATGCCATTAAGTGCATCCTCGCCAACACCAGTGGTGCATAATTCGCGTGATGGTTTGTATGTACAGGATCACATGAGCGGTAGGGCAGTACCAGAACCTACGAACATGCCTGTGCATATTGATCAGCAAGATGGGCGCATGCGCGAAGACAAATCAACGTTAAATTCAATTTTTGCGCAAGCAGCGACGCCGGTTCAACGTCGTGTGCAGTTCAGCGAAGCATATTCTCGTGAAGCAGAGAGGAATTGCCGAAGTGTCGCTGGAGCAGTGACGTCGCCTCTAGCGTATAGAGGAGACAATTCAACGCCATACTCATTTTCGCATGTTGCTGATGCGGAACGAAATGAGAATTGGTACAATTCTTTTGCGACGATGCGTACTGACAGTGGAAGAGGCAATACGATGCCAACGTATGCGTGCTCACATTCTGTTTCCACACCATTTCACTGTGCTACACGAAGTGTAAATGACAATCATTTTATTTCCAATGGGTTCGGAAATGTATGTGACATTATGAAAATTCTGCCAACGTTTGATCCTAGTGATAAAAGCATGTCGTCAACGCAGTTTGTTGGTCGAATTGAACAGCTTTTACAAGTGTATGGGTGGAACGAGAAAGTGCTTTTGTTTGCAGTACAAGCTAATTTAAAGGGTGCTGCAAAAATGTGGATTGACTCTGTGCCGATTGTTTATGTAAATTGGTCGAGATTCGTTGAAGAATTTTTAAATCAATTTCCGTCAATTATTAATTCCGCGGATGTTCACATGGAACTAATGAATATGCGCCGTGGCACGAACGAAAGCCCTGATATGTTTTATTATCGTGTTCTAGCTAAAGGTCACCAAGGTGGGGTGGATAATCAGGCAATTATAAAATACGTAATAAATGGGTTGAATGATACCGATATGAAGCGATGTTTATCAGTGACGACATATGGTACGTGCAACGATTTATTGAGGGCAATATCGAATTATTGTGCTTATAATTCAACGAGAAATTGCGCGACGGTTAAACAAGCAGTACCGGATGCTCAAAACAAGCGTTCGACAAATGAGAAAAAAACAAAAACTGAAATCATTTGCTACAATTGCCGAAAATCTGGACATATTTCGCGTGAATGTACGGAAGAGAAAAGACGACCGAAGTGTGAGAAATGTGGTACCATAGGGCACCGTGGTTCGGAGTGTGTAAAGCAAAAGACAAAATCGGAAAATTGTAATGCAATCGAAGATGAAGTTGTGAAATTCACTGTAAAGACAATTTTGTTGTATGGCAAAGAAGTTGATGCTTTTGTCGATACAGGCAGTGCGCGTTCGTTAATTCGAAAATCGGTTGCAGACAAATTTGACGATTGCCACAAAGAAAAATGTTATGTACGCCTTAAAGGTTTTGGTGGTGGTGTTTACGAATGCCAGAATAAAGTAAAAGTCATGATGAAAATTGATAGTGCAGAAGAATCAGCATGGTTACTGATTGTTGACAATAATATGATTGCAAATGATGTGTTACTTGGACGTGATGTACTTTGTTCGGGTAAAATGAAATACATTATTGACGGCGAAAATTTATATGTGCACGCGGATGTGGTAAAGAACGTAAATGCGATTGATGCTAAATCGGAAGCGGGTCGATTCGGTGAATTAGACAAACTGTTGTGCAAACATGAAAAACGCTTTTCCACGCTAGGAAAAGCAAATGTAGTGAAGATGGACATTAAACTTACAACCGATAAGCCAATCAATATGAAACCATATAGATTGCCGTTTGCAAAGCGACCTATAGTGAATACAATTATTCGTGACTTACTAGACAAAAATATAATTCGTGCGTCGAATTCTCCGTTTGCTTCGCCAATAGTGCTTGTTGCGAAGAAAAATAATGAGTATAGAATGTGTGTCGATTACAGGCAACTTAATCGGGTTACAGTAAAGCAACCATTCCCTATGCCGATCATGGATGAACTTTTCGCTGTACTTGCCGGTAATCGATATTTTACGGTTTTGGACTTAAATATGGGCTATCATCAAATCGAAGTTGATGAAAGCACTAAGCAATTCACTGCATTTGTTACGAATGACGGACATTATGAGTATAATCGGATGCCATTTGGTCTAGTGAATGCGCCGGCTGTATTCCAGACCATGATGAACAGATTGTGCGAACAAATGAAGCCGCGTAAAGTGATTGCTTATCTCGATGACGTGATTATTCCGAGTGCGACAGTGAGCGAGGGCCTAGAAATATTGCATGAGTTTTTGGACTTACTTGAAAAAACAAGTCTTACGTTGAGACGCGATAAATGCAAATTTCTGGCTACTGAAATAAATTTTCTCGGGCATAAAGTTAACGAAAACGGTATTACACCCGGAGAGTGTAAGGTTAGAGCAATTCACGATTTTCCGGTTCCGTCCACAGCAACGAAAGTACGTCGATTCTTGGGTCTTACGGGTTTCTTTAGAAAATTTGTAAAGAACTATGCGGCAATAGCCAGACCTTTGAATCAGTTAACAACTAAAAACGCCATGAATAACTTTGTCTGGGGTGAAGCAGCGGCTAATGCTTTTAACTCCTTAATTCAATCGTTAACGTGTGAGCCTGTACTGACATTGTACGATTTCAATGCACTACATGAGGTGCATACCGACGCCAGTTCTGTCGGCATAGCAGGGGTTTTCCTTCAGTCAACCGACGAAGGTAGAACATGGAACGCCGTGATGTATTTTAGTAGGCGATGTACTGATTTAGAATCGCGTTACCACAGTTATGAACTGGAGGTGCTAGCAGTGGTGGAAGCCTTGCAGCGTTTTAGAGTGCATTTATTAGGCAAGCCATTTAGGGTAGTCACGGACTGTGCTGCCATCAGCAACGTGAAGGCGAAGAGTGAACTAATTCCACGCATCGCTCGTTGGTGGATGCGATTGGGTGAATATGATTTTGAATGTGTGCACAGACCTGGTGTGCGTATGAGCCATGTAGACGCGCTCAGTCGATCTCCTGTTGGTGACGAGCGTAATGAAGACGAAAGCGTATTGCCGATCGCTCTGGATACTGAAGACTGGTTGTTAACAATGCAAATACAAGATACAAAGATTCGTGAGATTGTCGACGTGCTACGAGGTACGCGAAAATCAGAGCAAGTGAAACATCTTAAAAATTAATATAAAATCGAGAATGGCAGATTATATCGTCGATATGGCGACAAACTGCTCTTCGTTATTCCAAAAGCAGTTCGTTGGCGTATAGTGAGGTACTGTCATGACGAGATGGGTCATTATGGTATCGAGAAAACAATTCAGCGTATAACACAGCATTTTTGGTTCCCGCGTATTCGAAAATATGTAACAGACTACATATCTGCCTGCGTGGAGTGCTGTTACAACAAAAACGGTGGAGGGAAGCCTGAAGGTACAATGTATATTGACAGCATTGCGCCAGTACCTTTTCGGACTCTTCACATCGACCATTTAGGTCCCTTCGTGAAAAGCAAAAGGGGGCACACGTATGTAATTGCGATAAGTGACGCGTTCACAAAATATTTAATTGTGAAGCCAGCTCGAAACACGAAGACGCAAGCTAGTGCTGCAAGTTGTGAACGAGTTGAGTTCGTATTTCGGACTACCTGCGAGAATTGTGAGCGACCGAGGTACAGCATACACCTCCAAACAATTTGAGCAGTACTGCGGTGACAACGACATACAGCATATTAAAACAGCTGTAAGAACACCTCGCGCGAATGGCCAGGTTGAGCGAGCCAATAAAATGATTTTAGACTTTTTACGAACTTCCGGTGCCCAAGTTAAAGAATGGGACGAACAACTGCGAAATTTGCAATGTGGCGTAAATTCTCAAATTAATTCGAGTACGGGTTTCAGCCCCAACGACCTCGTATTTGACTTTAAAATACGTGACGTAGTACGAAATAAGCTACTGGCTGCGATTATTGACGACCCTGACGAATCTTCGATCGCTGACAAACGTGCCACAGCTCTTGTAAAACTTCAGCAGCAACGCGAAAAATGGAAGGAGAGATTTGATCGCAAGCATAAGACTCCAACTGAATACAAAGTAGACGATTTGGTCGTAATATCAAACGATCTCCAATCAACTGGTGAATCACGAAAGTTGGATTCGCGATACCGAGGCCCTTATGTTGTTAGCAAAGTACTCGGTAAGGACAGGTACTTAATCGAAGATGTTAACGGTATGCAGCGTAAGCAGAAAAGGTTTTGCTCAGTCTATTCAGCAGACAAAATGAAATTGTGGTGTGCACTTCCGCCCACCATAGATGAAGATGACAGCGAAGATACCGACGGAGATGACATCGAGACGATGTCAAAGTAGGATTGGCCGAATTGTCACATGATATTAATTAGACTAACCTTCACATTGAATACTACACATTTAATACATACTGAATTACTATACCTTCACATGCGACCCTGACATTCAACTGCAACCATGTAAGCATTTTAAAATAAACGAACGTTTTGAAGAAGACAGAAAAGAGAGAGTTTGTATCGAACAGCAGACGCGGACGGTTGATTTGTGAATCGCTATTTTTCCTACATTAATAAAAATCAAAGCAAGTGTTGAATAAACTGTATTTAATCGTTTGGCCTATTTTATTTAAAACTCGGGTTCTTGACACTTTGAAGTGCTTTAAGCATTATGTATTTTAAAGTAGTTGAAATCGAATGCAGAGTCGGATAATTGAGTAATGCCTAGGACATCGCCAGGTTAAAGTCAACAGTTCCTTCCAAGGAAGAAAGCCAGATCTTCAGCTAGTTGTGGTGGGTAAAAAACTGGGTGAACATCGTTATTTAAACTAGTTTCTTTCCGTATTGGGTCGTTTACGCATCAGTCTCCCATTTGTGGATGCGATATGCCAATGCATACATATTTATGTACGTATGGATACATATGTACATACCCTGTGGGGAAAATCTCTAGTTCTGAACTGGGGCGCTTCTAGTACATTTAGACCCAGTACTGGTTCGCGATAAATCTCTTTTGCATGCAAGCAACTGGCGAATTTAACATGGCGATGTCCTAGGAAGTGTCAATTGCCCCCCGCTGCATCCCTTTTTCGATAGTTCCGAACTAGTCCTAAATTCTATAGTTCCGAACCAGTTCTAAAACCGACAGACGAAAGAAAAAAGTATCATGGTTTTTCAATTTTTTCGGTTCTTCCGTGTGCGATTTTACATTATTTTCAAAGAAACGTTTTTTCAATTTGAAATTAAATTTGTTTGAATGATTGTAAGAAATGTACGTTTACATACCTTGCTGTAGCTGACTTTGCAGAGGTGCTCGCTGTTATTGGTTAGATTCCAGACGGCCCCAAGATGTTAATATGTTAACACAAAGCTTTGTTTTGTATTACCAAACTATGAAATAGCATCTGCGAAGTACAGCATAGAAGCGTATTTGAACGAAAAAGCCGCCGAACACATATCTATGTAAAGTAAACAAGCCCCCGCTGCATCCCTTATTCTTTGTAAGTTCCGAAATAGTTCTAAATTCGACAAATAGGATCTAGTTTGTTCTGCATCCCTTTTTCTATAGTTCCGAACCATTTCTAAATTCGTCACTTTAGATATAGATTTGTAGTGAAAAAAACTGAAAAAAATTAGTTTCTTAAAAGTACCACTTTTCGCCGATTTTGGACTGGAGGATCTAGTTCCTATCGGACTAGTTCCTTTTTGGCAATAAAGACCTAGTACGGAACTAGAAATTTGATTCACTAGTCCACGGTTTCCCTGCAGGGTATGTTTTAGAAAAAGAGGATGGGTTCACGACATAAATTTGAGAATAAAAGAAGATGGTGAATTTTCCAGCCTGATGCCCCAACTGCATAACCACGAAGAAAGATTTTATAAATATTTCCGCATGCCCCCTGAATGCTTTGATGAAATACTAAATTTAAAAGGGACTGATATTACAAATCAACACACAAATTGGAGGGAGCCAATATCTGCAGAAGAGCGGTTAATGATAGCCTTAAGGTAATAAGTTTATTTAAAAATAAGTTTACAGGTGATTAAAAAATATGAGTCATTTAATCTTCGAAGTTTGAAAAATAAGCACTGAATCCTGTGTGTAACTTTCTGTTGAATTGCTTTCTGTTTGCGGGCAACTTTCTTTTTCGTTTTGCTCTACCAAATGATCAATCCCATGTCGCATTATAATTTTGGCGAATTCATGTTTTACTTCCATTTGCCGCTTTAGTGAAAAAGCTTTTATTGTCTTAGAATAGCCAAGAAATATGTGATCGGTGCCATCTAGATCCGTGCTGCTGCGCTTATTTTTATAGGATCAATTATATCCTCAACAGCAGACTGGGAAGTGCTTCCACGTTTTCGCACAGAAGTTGATGTGGATGGTGTTGAGCTGCAACTCGGTTCTTCATCTAACATTTCTTCTTCGGTCGGAATTTCAAAATACTGCATATGCGTTGCTCATTGCCAAGTTTAATATCGCTGTGCGCGTGACCGGTTTTTTTGCTGCAGTCCTTAAGTGCTTCGCATAGGAGTCTCAAATTTTTCCACTTTTTTTCACAGAATAAACTGAAAGCAAAAACATGTTTATTTTCAGATTTTTATCGACTGGGTTCAGCTTTTCTACAATTTGGACACGGGTTCACTACCGTTAGGGCAAAGAAGTTTGCGAAGCAATTTGGTTACGTATGCAGCCCATTTACCTGCCTCAGCCAATAGAAGCCATATGGAAAAATTCAGCAGAGCAATTTTACGAAGCATGGCAGTTCCCAAATTGCATAGGAAGTATCGATGGGAATCATGTTACAATAAAGTGCCCAAAAAATACTGGTTCGCAACATTTCTGCTACCTAAAAAAAATTTCGGTGGTTCTTTTAGCTATTGTTGGAGCTGACTATAAGTTTTTATTTATGTGTCGACATAGGAGGTTATGGCAAAAATAGCGATGGAGGCATTTTTGAAAAATCCAACATAGGAAAAAGAGTTGAAACCGGAAATTTTTGCATTCCGGAAAGTAAACCTCTACCAGAAGAGACTGAACCGAATCCGTTCATTTTATTTGGTGATGAAGCGTTTGCTTTAAAGACCTATCTCATGAAACCTTTTCCTCAGAGGCAAGTAATAAATGATGGATGCAAAAATGCATATAACAAAAGATTGTGCAGAGCGAGGCGTGTTGTAGAAAACGCATTTGGGATACTTGTACAAAAATGGCGTGTACACTTTAGACCAATTGAACTAAAGGTTGAAACAACCAACAAAATTATACAAGCAACATGCATTTTACATAATTTTCTTATCACGCATAACAAGGGAGATACACAATATTTTGAGAGGCACCCTGAAATTGTGCATATGGAAACTGTGCATACGATGTAATGCATATGAAAAAACCGAAATAATGCATATGAAAAAAACCGAAATAATGCATATATGCACAGATCCGGTTGAAAACCGAAATAATGCATATGAAAAACCCGAAGTAATGCATACATGCACACTTTCGTTTGAAAACCGAAATAACGCATATGAGAAAAACGAAGTAATGCATACATGCACAGTTTCGGTTCAAAACCGAAATAATGCATATGACAAAAACCGAAGTAATGCATACATGCACAGTTTCGACTCAAAACCGAAGTAATGCATATGACAAAAACCGAAATAGTGCATACATGAAAACGAACTTCTTTCTGAGTAGGCGGCCTTCGGCCGCGCTTAGGGATTATAACCCTTACTAAGTACAATTCTCCTTTCTGTGTTGGCGGAAAAGATGGGCGGGAGTATTTTTGCGCAGAACTTCTTTCTGCGTAGGCGGCCTTCGGCCGCGCTTAGGGATTATAACCCTTACTAAGTAGAATTCTCCTTCCTGTGTTGCCGGAAAATAAGGGCGGAAGTATTTTTGCGCAAAACCTCTCTCTGCGTAGGCGGCTTTCAGCCGCGCTTAGGGACTAAAACCCTTACTAAGTAGAAGTAAATAGTTCATATTAGAAAAAACGAAATTATCCATATGCACACTTTCGTTAGAAACCCGAAATAATGCATATAACAAAAACCAAAATAATGCATGCATGCACAATTTCGGTTCAAAACCGAAATAATGCAAATGGCAGAAAACGAAATAAAGCATACATGCACAGTTTCGGATGAAAACCGAAATA